GCGGCAGGGAGATGGTTCTGTCTCTGACAGGGCTGAGATAACCTTACGAAATCAGGACCTTCGGGTTATTCTTTAGAGAACAGAAGGAAAATGAGGAGATTTTGGATCTTTCCCTATAAAAATGCCAGCTCAAGGCCTGAGCCGGTCCAAGTGGCAGAATCTTGGAGACTTTGGACAGGTGAGGCCTGAGCATCCACTTATGTGAATGTCTGGGCCCTGTTAATGACTTTGAATCCTCCCATGAAACACAATTCCTCACTCGATGTTACAATTCATTTTTTATCTTTTGCAAAGCACTTTTACCCACAGTACCTCCCATCTTCCCAGTGAGGACTACGGGGTTAGCATCTATCCCCATTTCCCCAGTGAGAAAACCAAGGTCAGAAGGTCAGTTACTCTTGCACAAGATTCCCTAGCTCCTAAGCTACCAAGTTGGACTCTAAGTCAGACCCCCAACTCTCAGCCCTGAGCACTTTCAAATTCTCTGTGCAATATGGTTCCCCCAGGGCTGTCATTTAAAAAATAATCCATCTAAATGGCAAAGGAGTGTTTCTTAGCAAAAGAACAATCTGTTGGAAGAAGGGAAGTGACTCGAGAGTGTCATTTATTCTCCTCTAGCTGGTTGCTGGGCAGGAAATGATTTAGCTGCTTTGGAGTAGTTGGACAGGGAAGGCTGAGTCCACTTGGCCGCAGTGTGAGCAAGCAGAAAGCCTTCACGCACCGGGACAGGGGCACACGTCAGAGACAGCCAGCCTGCAGTTTTCTCTTTGCCATTTGCATGTGGCCCTTCTGCCTCCAGACATTTGTCCCAGGGGCAAATTGGAGCTTTGGTGCTAGCTGAACCAACTCCAACCCAACTCAACGGAGCTGCCTTGTGGCGGGAGTTGGCTCCCAAGTCTGGGTTCGGCGGGGGAACCTGGCTTCAAACCCAGGGCCCCTGGATGAGTGCGGGTACCTGGAAAGCCCTTGAGAGTTCTTGGGGGAGGTTCTGGGAGACCACCTTTCCTTCCACGTTTAATGGAGGACTAAGTGCTTTATCACAAGTTAATGTTCGACTTCTTTTTTTGTGGCCTTTATTATCATTACTTTTAATAGTAGAGGTCACCCAGGATGCCGCTGATCCTGTGTACTGTACATGACACTTGACACTTTTGATATTTTTAGCAGGGTTTTCAAGAATTATTATTTTCCCTGAAATGTAAAATATCAGTTTAAGACCGTTGCATTCACATCTACTCAAGGTCAAGGTCTTTAGCCCCCCACCTGGGAGCCTTCATTCCAGATGCAAATGAGACAAATGAGAGGGGAACTGCCAGCTCCCGCCAAGCATCCTGCCGAATGGGAGTCCCCAACGCTGCCTTAATTCCCAGAGGAGCTTCCACCCAGGTGGGAGCCAGTGTCCTGCCACTGATCTGTTTTCCAGCCTTGCTAATGTGAGACTAAGGCATACTCACCAAAGGAGTCATTTGTTAGTAAAAAAGTCAATTGAAGTCATTCTATTTGTTTGCTTTTCCCTTCTTTTTTTTGTTTTTTTTGAAAGCCACAGAATGGAGAAGAACAGAGAGGGTGTGTGGTGTGGTGAAAACAGCACAGCACAGAGAGTGGCACAGACCTGGGTCTGCAGCTGACTAGCTGGGTGGCTGGAGAGAAGTGGCTTCATTTTGGGCTTCAAGGTTATTTGTCTGTAAAATCAGGGATTGGATCATATAATCAAAGTTCCTGTATAGTTAAAAGAGAAATCAAAAAACAAAACAAACAACAACAACAAAACACTGCCTGTCTCCATAACAAGGTTCTTGTGATGACTTTACCTGAAGGAAGAATCACTTCGCTACAGGACTTACCCAAGAGATCTGGTGACCAATGACCTAGTCAGCAGAGAAATGTCAGATTTCTGGCCTCCAGAACTTCGATTTTTCTGGGATATTCAGTAGTTCCTCTTTTTCAAATATTCCTTCAGTTGATTCCAGAAACACTTTGTACTTAAAAAAAAAAATTGCAATCCTTTTGTTTTTTAACTTGTTTTAAGGAATTGGAAGGTAACACACTGCCACACCCTTGTAAGTCCCAGGGTCTACAGCTCTGCAGGGAGGCAGCAGAGCTGTTTCTGTGATCAGAAAAGCCACCAAAGCATTGGTGAATGTGAAGTCACTTTTGGAGTGCCTGCCCTTGTCCCTCTGTCTCTCCGCTTCTGTGTACATAAGGACGGTTTCAGTGGTGTCCTCTCTGTGTCATGGACTGTCCCAATGTCATGCAAATTTCTGTTTTGTTTAGATTATTTTAAAAGTTGTTCTCTTCATGGAAAAGTCAATGTACAGAATAATAAAGGATATTTCCTGTGCCGTATATCTGGTGATGGGATTGTGAATGCTTTCTGCCACGAGGGTAAAATGCTACGAAATATGTAAGGCAAGAGGGTTTGTTTTCAATCAGCTTCCAGCTAGAGAAAAAGAGCTTCTCCTTGTCTCACTCATGCTTGGTGTCGTATGTGGCCCATCTAACCTGCCCACCATCCTAGCTCAGGTTTGTAGGACTAGGTCCTGAGCTGGGTACTGTACAGGGTGCTGGTCCCCCTTCTCTATTTTCTTATGCACGTGTCTTAGGACGGTTAATAATGATTCGACCATTTTCCATTCCCTGGCTAGACCTTTACAAGCCCCTTCATGGTGTGTTCAGGTCATACTCATTTCCTGTAAAGGACTCTGCACAAAGGCAGCACCCAACAGATACCGATTTCCTACTTTCTACTGAATCTCCCATCAAGTAAAGGGTGCCTTGCCTGGATGGCCTAGGTTCAGAATCCTGGCTCTGCTATTATAGCTTTGCGATCTTGAGCAAATTATTAACCTCTTTATAGCTGAGTTTTCCTTTTTGTAATAAAGACAATAATAACAGCATTTATTTCGGATGGCCGTTGTGGAAACTAAATGAGTTAACATTTTTAAGTATTTAGAACAGTACCAAGTTAAAAAAAAAGAAAGAAAGAAAGAAAGCAAAAGAGCTTCTGGTTGCAGTGGCCAAGCTTCAACTAAATAGCAGTTTTTAAAATTTATAGAAGAGGAGGCTGGAGGGGTTAAATCTATAATCCTATCTCTGAGATTGACACGTTTTTATTTAAATAAAAGTTGAGTTCAAAGGGAACTGGTATAGTTTAGATTTAATTTTTAAGGCTGAGTTCAAGGGTATCAGAGCATCCAGCTGGACTGAATTAAATGCACAATTCAGTGCATGTGTGATTTTTTTCTTGGACACTTAGACATTTAGAGCTGAGTATCATCCTTATTCAAGGAAGATATGAACTTACATGAAATTATTTTTAGTGAAAATCATCAGGCAGACAGTGACACCAATATAAATGAGGTGTTATGCCATTCAGACAATGACTTCAAATATGGAAAGGCTCTCAGAGATAGATGGTGGGCCCAAGTGCTGAGCTAAGGCAATGGTAGGAAGTCCGGGGAGACAGCTTGCAAGAAGATTAGATCTGAACAATAAAAAAAATGTATCCAATGTAATCAATACTATTTTGAAACCAATATATCATCACTTACACATTCATA